CTCTCCACGGCCCTAAAACATTGCAGCCCTTTCAGGACCTTGGACAGTTCCTTCAATCTTTCACACTGTTCAAGGTCCTAAAAACATTGCAGCACTTTCAGGGTGTTGGACAGTTCCTTCAGACCTTCATACTCTCCACGGCCCTAAAACATTGCAGCCCTTTCAGGACCTTGGACAGTTCCTTCAGTCCTTCATACTGTCCAAGGTCCTAAAACATTGCAGCACTTTCAGGACCTTGGACAGTTCCTTAAATCCACACTGTTCAAGGTCCTAAAACATTGCAGCACTTTCAGGACCTTGGACAGTTCCTTCAGTCCTTCATACTGTCCAAGGTCCTAAAACATTGCAGCACTTTCAGGACCGTGGACAGTTCCTTCAATCCTTCTTACTGTCCAAGGTCCTAAAAGTGTTCCAGCACTTTCAGGACCTTGGACATTTATTTCAGCCCTTCACACTGTCTAAAACAGTGATTCCCAACCAGGGGTACGCAAGCATATTACAGGGGGTATGTGTAATAATTTCCCAGATGTGTAAAAATATTGATAAATATAGGATTGAGATATGAACTCGTATGATTTCTACAATGTGGAAATTGCAGATGGAATCACAGAATTAACACAAAATTGAATAAAGTATAAAATGTGGAATCTCATGGAATTTGCTCATTTGGGTGTTTCTGGTGTACTTTGGACAATAGATTTTTTTGGACATTGCCGTTTTCTGCACCTGCCATTATCTGGCTTATTTAATTACGTTTTCCCTTTCAAGGAAACKTTTTTATCATTGTTTAATTTGTGTTGAAAAATGCAATGCCTGAAAATTAAACATTCTATGGTTTAAATATATATTTTTCATTTAATAATCAGCTGTTGTACAATATAGTTTTGGAGATTCATCATTATGTTTGACTGAAGGGGTACTAGTGGAATGACAAAATGATTCAGGGGGTACACAAGTCTAAAAAGATTGGGAACCACTGATCTACGATATGACAGAATATTTTCACAACCATTCCTACCTTGTAACTTGACTAAACCAGCTTATATGTTGAACTGGTTAGGAAGTGATCAACAACTGTTATTGTGACCTTTATAACAAGGATTTATAAGCCTGGATGGGAAGAGAAACACATTCAAGAAGCACAGGAAGTCCAGTTACCTCCTGTCTAACCACTGAGGATGCACCTGAAGAAGCTAAATTCCAGAATGTCTTCACCCACAGAAGAGTTACTGTTTGCTCCACTTATCTTTATTGGATCAAAACAAACTTAGTGTTGGAGCTGCTAATTGGCACCAGCAGCAAATAATGACAAATATAGATAAAAAAAGCGAAACAGATAGTTCTCAGTTTTTATTTGAAATGTGACTTTACACAGGGAACCCAAATGTCATGTTTGTGAATATAAAAAAAGGTTTATTAACAAAAAAATGTTCACACAAAGTGTGTGGTATTTTTGCAACATTCATTCTGGCTTTCCACYGAATCTGAGATTGAACAGAGGCACCCATCTTATTAATAAATAGTTTCATTTAAAGAACGAGTAGTAATTTGATATAAATACAAAGGCGCATAAGAAACTCTTGAAGCAATTATAAATGTGCTGATTCATACAAAAACAAAAACAGGCAAGCAAATCAATCAAGCACGGATGCAAAATTGAAAGCAATGTTGGCGTAGAAATGAGAAATTGGCACAAAGTGATAAACATATGAAGAAAACATGATGCTCCAACCCAAGTGAAATTTAAATTATAGGCACTGATAGAAGAAACCAACCACAGCAATCATCAGGACTTTTCCCTAACTGGCATGTGTTTTTTTTTTCCATTTTCATTTTCATAGCACAGTAGGTGAAAGCTAGCACAAACTTTTTCAACTTCAAACAATTTTAGATTTTTTTTGTAGCAATAAGACACATACATGGAAAACACATAAGTTCCCTGGTTTCACTGCTGATCTGATGATTCTGATAATAAATATGTCACCAACTCAAAACTCAGACTCTTATCTAACCACTGTAAGAGGTTTAGTTTTTCTTGGCAAACCTTGATGAAGGTCTGATCTGAAGCTTTGGCWGAGGAGTCATCTAGAACCCCAGTTTCTAACCAGTCCTGATCTGACACTTAAAAATAATAATAATAATAATAATAAACAAACAAACAAGGCTTTGGAGAGTTAGCTTGCAGCTGCAGTTTAAAATGTAAAGTTTGATAACTGAAAACTCTAATCAAAATACTGATATGGATGTTTGGACATATGCTTCTTAAATAATTTGAATAAATAATTTCCAAAACAAAAAACAAAACAAAAGCTTTGCATACATTCTGGCTGATTTTTTTTTTCTTTGAGAAGAAAGATTGAGTCATACCGACACAGAGGTGCTTTTACTGTTGCAAGACATCAACAATTCTCTAACATCACAGACAGTCCACCTGCACACCATCGTCACAGAGACGTCCACTGACTTCTGCTGAGGACAGACAAGAGGAACACGTGGAAACATTTCAACCTGAGGGACGTGTCAGAAGAGCCAGGAGGAGAGGACARGGCCAGGCTGGACACATGTGGAGACATGTCCTCTGCTGGCGGAGTTGGAGATCGGCTGGGTTCTTTGGCGTTTTCTACACTACATGTCCGACCCCCCCCCCTCCAGATCCAGTCCCCACAGAGAAGAACCGTGACAGACTCTGTCCTCTCCTTTAAATGATGAATTTGTTTGGGACTGGGTTGGTCTAGTCTCTTTGCGGGACAAGTTATGTGGGGATATAAAGTGCCATGCTGTATTTTCTTCCTCCTTGTGTTGATTGTGTGAGCAGAGCGCCCCCTGCTGGCTCAGCTCAGTAACAACCTTCTCTCCAGTTGTCACCTGTGCTGCCATAGGTCCGAGGAGCAGGAAGAGACCTGTGGAAGGACGGGAAATCATAATTAGACATTTTATGCTACTGAAAACTGATGGTTATCACTGTAAACACATTTAGATTAGGAATTGATCCAATCCAGTAAATATAACCTCCTAATCTGACAACACTCTTGGATCAGAGTGTAAGCTGAAGTAAACAATCTGTAATAATTCAGTCTGTGTTGTTGCCGGTTTTAGTTTTGGCTGATTTTCTAACAAAGTTAAATTTACAGTCAACGTATTGTTACACAATTAAATAAATAAATATATTCTGTCCACATTTATACATAGAATAAGAGTATTTGTTTGACTTTTGAAATTTTAGACATGAAGGTCAGACACCTGGTAGAAATTTTGAGCCGAGGTTGAGTGTATTTATCAAACAAGACTCCACACACTGTTAGTTAGTGATGTTTAATGTACTAAATGTCAGTTTTGTGTTTATTTTACTAAAATAGGACAATCAGTTTTTGTTTTCTATCCCTGACATGCAGACACAGTGCACCATCATCACTGCTCTGAATACCACTCATCCACCTCTCACACCATGAAGCCTGATCCGTTACTTTAAGTGTTTTGTAGCTAGATCTGGTACTTCCCAAACCCACCCAGCAAACAGTATTTAAATAAATGTTAGAAAATGATAGAAAAGACTAGTTTTTGCAGTTTCCTTGTACAATTTTATGTAAATATGTGCCTAAAATATCTGTGATAAAACACTACTATCCATCCATCCATCCATTATCTACACCCGCGGCTCACGGGGGTCATTGGTGCCCATATCCAGCAGTCACAGTGTGAGGGGCGAGGTACATGCTGGACAGGTCACAAGCCCAGAAAAATACTACTAATAATACATAAATTCAAACATTCATCATCAGTTTTTGAGCCTGTTATCACATTTACTATTTCAGTTTACAGCCACACAGGTGCTTCCCTAAAACCTACCATAAAATAAAACGTTTAAACACAGTAAGGCATGCTGCTGAGGGAATACAAACAAATGTAGGATTTTCTAAACATATTATACTGTAGATATATTAAAAGTCACTAAAATAAGGCAAACCGTGAGACTAAAGTATCGAACTGAACCGAATCGTGAATTTTCTGTATTGTTGCACCCCTAGTACATACATAGATACATACAGACATGTACATACACCAGGGCTATTCAACTAAACTGCTCTGGAGGCCACAGTTACTGCAGGTCAACAGCTGAGGGGCCGAACATCCAGCAATTAAATTTATTATGCAAATAAACCAAGTATTACAAAGATCTGTTAACTTTGAAATAGTTTAATTTTCTGTATTTAATCATGAAAACAACATACAGAACCCTATAAATGTAGTGATAATTAAATATAATCAAAAACAATAAGAACACATTATGCCTCATATTTAACACAAATATTATTTTGACATCTCTGACTTGCCAATTTTTTTTAACCAATTTTATTTTCACTTTCATAGTTTTATTTTCAGCTGCTTCATGTAGTTTGAACAGTCTTAAGTGTTCAATAGAAATAGTTTTACCAGCTTGTAGCCAAAATTCTGACATTTCTGTAGATACCAAACATGTCTGTATTTAACTAAAATAACTTACAGTAATTAAACTAGAAAACTGGAGGTTTGGGCTTTAGAGATGAATGAACCAATTGGTGGGCCGAACTTTGGTCACTCCGGCCCGCGGGCCACCAGTTGAATAGCCCTGACATACACACACATAAATGAATACGCACATACATTCATACATAAAATTCACTGCAGTATTTTATGATTGTTCTGATTTTTAATGTAGCTGTACCAAACATTATCACTAAAAACAACATAAACAACAACATATTATATTTAATAAAAACATTTCAGGATCAGAGAGATTCTGTGTATCAGCACATTTTTAAATGCAGATAATGAATGCAGGTGGGGTCCAGCGACAGAACAGGTGGTGTGTGTATCGATATGTGTACCTTCGAACAGGTTGGGCCAGTTTGCTGCGAGGCAGAGAGATGCTTCCTCCTGCAGAAGCACTGGGTCGGGGCAGCCCGCTGCGGGGGGCAGCCAGCGAGCGGGTGGGGGTGGAGGTGGCAGAGCTGGGGGTGGAGGTGGCCTTTACAGGCTGTCTCAGAGCCAGTGGAGACGGTGCAGCCGGGGTTCGAAGTTTACTAGGAGAAGGGACTGAAGGCAGGCAGAGCAGAAACAGTCAGGTTTAGCGTTTCACATTTTATGCATCAATTTTAACAGTGATGTAATGACCCAAGGCTCAATGCTAAAATATGATGCCAATGTCCAAACATGTATACTAATCAAAAAGAAAAAATAAGTAAGTCCACTGGATGGGTTCTTCTTTAGTGAAACATTTCGTCTCTCATCCAAGGCCAGCACAGATGAGCTACTTCGTCGGGTCAGGACTCTGCAGTTTACACTCATCTACAGGTCTGGACTCTGCAGTTTACACTCATCTACAGGTCAGGACT